CCTCTCGACAATATGTGTTTTTGCTGACTGTAGCTGCTATAGCGCTGCACAGCAAAAACGCATAAAAATCGCATTTTTTGATTAAAATAGGTGGATACGCATACCAGAAGTCAGCGCGCACATGCATCTTTGCAGACGGGATGACAGTGGATAAATACTGTGAAATATGCCTCCTTAACGAGAGTTTTTGGACCTATTCATTGAAAGGCAGCATGCAGCTCAGGAGCAGGCAAAAATTTGGCTAATCTTAATTAAAGCCAAAATCCCCTTCATATCCACTTTCTATGAAAGGCCGAGGCACTCGAAAGGCAGTCGGGATGGTGTCAAATGCCAGCGGCGACTACTCGCTGGAAAAACGGTCGATGGTTCAGTTACTTGCAAAAGTCTCCCACCGAACAAATTCCACTTTTCTCGTAGTAATTACGCATCCTGCAAATTACACCTTTAATGAAACGTTTTTGTTCCATCACGGTGCTTTATAATTCCATAGATACGAAGTTGCAACTTTGTAGCATGTTTTATTCTTGGGACTTCGCCAGCGATCTCATTTTGCACCCCTAGATTATTACTTTTAGGTTGATGAAAGCGTCCAGACAAACCCGAGATTAGCTTGCTAGTAAGCAAACACCGAAAGAAAAAGCTATGATCAGCTCTACCAGTGAGTGTTAGCTTAACGCAGTTCTACCCTGATCACTGTCTGTCTGTTGGACCTGGCAACAAAACATTTATTCAACCTGGAACCTCCAACACCACGCAGATGTATATAATACGCAAAAATACCCGCACAAAATAACAGGCGATGATTCTGACGAAGGATCGATCTTGCCGATCACTCGCACTGTATCAAGACGACGATTTCGCAAGAAATCACCGTCCCAACATTTAGTTTTGTTCTTATATGCGCAAATCAATGGGCTGGCATTATGCCCAATCGATGCACCATAATTAGCCACATAGCAAAGAGAAGTGATTACAACATCGCTAATGATATCGAGAGACCTGTAATAACGCAAATGCGGGCCTTCCATTCTGGCGTCTCAGTGAGTCAAGGCACGAAGTTTGTTCTGGTTGTGTTTAGTCACTGTAGAAGAAACAAATTTTACTTTAAGGATGGGAATGAAATTTTTGCTTTAGTACGGTAAGGCAAGGCCTAATAGTGCTAATGTTATCCAATTCAGTTTCGAACTAGTATTATTCTGTTTGTTTATGACTGCTTTATTTAGCGGGTGCATAAACGCATTCTTGTGAGCACACATGCGCGTGTGTTCACACTCACCAAGCCGGGGAGATAAATATACATCGCAGAAAAAATAATGCTTTCTTCATCCTTTTTAACGGGCGCATGCCTTTCTTCATTTCCTAAAGAAATTGATTTCCATTCCCTTTTGTGGAAAAATGCAGAAGTGAAGCATGCCATACCATCATCATTTCCCGTCCAATTACTGCAAGTTTAAAGCGTGCGGCAACAGAACATCTGAGATGTCCACCAATCCGGCTTCTTTGTGGGCTTGCCCAGCTAGTCAAAACACTGGATTTTGTCCGACTCACAACTACTTTATACATCAAGGCACTAAAATGCTGCACTGAGAGCCTGCATTTCAGCAGAATGCAAGTGCAGAGGAAACGCTAAATTTACTGAAAGTCTTGAAGGCCTTAAGCAGCCTCCGACTTTTAACGCATAAATCCTAGCTGCTTCTGGACGTTTCTCTGTAAATTCAGTGGCTTTTTACTTATCGCTTCTAAACCGTTTTATTTAGTGAGTATAGACACCGACATTTTGTGGCATCAGAGCAAAACAAAACACAGGCTGGGGCGCACCAAACGGGCCGGTGCGATCATGCGTTTTTTGCTTCAAACTTAAAGTAATAAGGTTAAGTACATAAATGGTTGTTTATTCACACCTGCGTTGCGCTTTCAATATTGTAAATCATCATAAATTTTGCACAAACGGAAGTAAACAATTTCCGTTTATCGGTCTTTTTTTTGAAAATGGCCCATCTGCCCAATCAGGAAATTTCCCGCCAAAAATTTAAATGCCCGTACATGAGAACCTTGCGTATCCTCGAGGCTGAATTTGAAAACTTCGAGTCGTATTTGGACGGAGAATATTCTCCTAAAATTTCAGCTTTCCAGCTTTTCTGGTTCCCGAATTAGCCATTTTCCCGTCAAAAAATTTCACGGAGCCGTACATGAGGACCGCGCATGCTTGGCAGCTGGGTTTGATAACTTTAAGTTGTACATGAACTAGGAAGAAACCCTTAAAGTATCAGACTTCCAGCTTTCCTCTTTCCCGAGTTAACGACTTTTCCCGCCAAAAACTCCTACGGAGCCAAACGTGAGAACCATGTAAACCTGGTGGCTGAATTTAATAATTTTATGTCGTGCATGGGTGGGAAACATTACCCTAAAATTTTGATCCCCTAGCTTACTTAGTCCTTGAATGAGCCACTTTTTCGCCAAAAACGTCCACGAAGACGTACACGCGAACCCCGCATGTCTGGAGGCTGAGTCTGGTAAATTCAAATTGTACATGGGCGGGGAATATTTCCTTAAAATTTCAGCCTTCTGGCTTTCCTGATTCCCAAGTTGGAGATTTTCCTGCCAGGAACCTTCATGGGGACGTATGCTGGAAACACGTACAGCTGAAAGCTGAATTTGAAATCCTTCAGTTATATGTGGACGGGGAACATGACCTCACGACTTCAGCTTTCTATCTTTTCTCGTTCCCGAGTTAGCAATTTTCCCGCCAAAACTTCATCCTTTCGTACACGAGGCCCAGACTTGCAAAAGCGCTGGTACCGCGCTCCTGGGGTAGTATTTATCCGGGGAACCCACTAGCAAAATTTTGCCTGAGCTTGCTTGGTTGCCAAGTTGAAACACACGAACAGATGAAAACACACACACAAACATGCACACACAAACAGGGTCGTTGCAACATGAGTTTTCTCAATTTACATGTAGGCAAAAATGCATAAACAGAAAGGTTTGTAAGCTTCGCTGAAGCATACTTCAAATTATGTGTAAATGCTTTCGTATCTGGCCTTATTACGTGTGTTCTAATCCAAATATGTTACAATTTCCCCTCTGTCGCTGTAGCACGTGCAGTCGCTAATGCGCGTCCCTTCGGCTTGCAAATGTACGCTCAAAACCAGTTCCCAAACCCTCTTGGGCAAAATAAGCTGTAAGCTTCGTAATCCCATCGGTCCAGTTTTTGCCGAAAAGCGAACAAAAGCCAGATGTTAATTCTTTAATTTCTCGGCTGTGGTCACAAGCTAGTTTGATGTAGTGGGACAGTCAACCAAATATCTACCTGGTCTCGCTCGTCCTCCCATAACTGTTAGCCGTGCGCTTCCAACAACAGCCAGGTTGTGAAGAGAACAACTATCTAGTTTGTGTGAGTATGGCAGACCCGGCATTAGTGTATGGCCAAAGTCATCGATGTTTTTCTACAAAAAAAGCGAAACAACTTTTAATGCTAACAAATCCGATGAAAGACGAAATATGCATAATTTAGATTTATCAAAGGCAGTGCAGTGACATGCAACTCTAGAAAAAACAGAGGAACTACGCCGCTCTTAGATGTTTTCGCTGTTTTCGTATTTTTAGCAAGCGATGACGTGCTTTCGAATCCTTCCCCCAGGCACCGATCACAAACGATTCGATCTCGCAGTGATTTTCACCACGTAATATTCGGAATGTACCATTCTCGCCCCAGTCTGTTCCCCACGAATTCGCACCAATCCAGTATTTCACCCGTCTTCCTGTACTGTAATCCTCACCCCATCTGAAAAAAAAAATTGGCCAACGCACGCGCTGCTCGTGCGAAGAAGCGTTTTTTGCATAGTTCCCCGCAGTTTTTGTTGCTACCGGTATTGGCCTTTTCGGCAAATGCTTCTAGCTAAAAGAATTCCAGTCTGGACGCCAGAACTGTCAGAAAACATCCCTTCAAAATTCCAGTTTTCTAGCTTCTCACGTTCCTGAGTTAGCAGCTTACCTGGAAGAAACTTTCAAGGGCCCGTACGTAGGTACCACGCCTACCAGCGGGCAGAGTTTGAACTCGTTAATACCCGTTTGGATGGGGAACATCCCCTTAAGATTTCAGCGTTCTAGCATCTCAGATCTCCAAGTTATGAAGTTACCCCAAAAAAACTTTGGCGGGCCCGTACGCGGGTACCACGCGGGTGATGGCGCCCATTTTAGGAATTGGAGCCGACACGTGCATGTAGCTTAAGTTCCCGAAATTTCAGCTCTGCAGCTTTTATAGGTCTTGAGATGAAAGTGCATGACGGACGCACACACAGAGACAACCCCGCGTCAATATGCGTTTTTGCATTGCATAGCTGCAAAAAACGCATAAAAAAAAAAATTGAATGTAGCATATGCGCAACTGCACATATTTGCGTGTTAAACGAGTTAAGGAAGAATAATGTGAAAGGCTAGAGGAGAAGACAATAATTTTAGCAAAAAAGCGGGAAATTTAGCTGAGCAAATGTCAAGGAATACAATAAGTGCAAACTAAATCGGCATTCAAGTAGTGATCGGTGAGTTCACTCGATCGCTCAGTCTGGAAAACCGCGGTTATTAAAATTTTTTTGCAGGACTGTCAATGCCCGATGGGCATTTACCGGCTTGATTGTAGTGTTTACCCAGCTTCTGATCCAATTGCGTGTAACTGTTAAATTCTGTCAAATTTGTACTTACTGCAACAAGCATGCCAACGCTTTCCTTTGTTTCCGAAACCGAAAAAATTACTAATCAGTTTGGCATAATTTTTTTTTTTTTTACAACAGCAAAGCAAACAGGTTGCAAAATCAAAAAAGAGGCGGGGTCGCAGCGGATGATGGGCAGATAATTTTCTTCGCGGCTTTCAATGTGTAGTGAGCCTACAGCAGCAACACAGCCGGGTGCCACCTTTTGAAAAGCAACTTCTTTCGAAGAGTGCAACTGATTCTCGAGATTTTACAGTTCATTCACGACTCTAAACCTAGAGATTGTTATTTTCCTGAAGACGTGCAGGAATCCGCTAGTGATGGGAATGTGCACTTGTCTTTGCTGTTTTTTTCGTAGCGAATTTCTGATATGTAAGCTGAAGGTGAACCGCCCATTCTCGATTTCCGGACAAAACGATACTGTAGGATTTGTTCATCCAGTGAGGTGCACCAAAACGGACGTTCTCATAAAAAAGCTGCGCGCCGGAACACTTACTGCTTTGTTAAAAGAAGTATGTGATCTTCTGCTTACCCAATGAGTCGCACTGAGTGATAACCCTGTGCTCGACCGCTACTCATTGGCAAACGCTGGTATATTCCACTGCTGCAAAATGCAAAATCGATAAGTTTTTGATGTTTTTCGACATCGATGACCAAAAACACTGGAAATTGCGAACAGGCATAGGCAGTGAAAAGAAAGACGGGAAAAAGCTCACTAGAAAAGCGGATAAGTGCGTAGAACTTTTTTTGTGCTTTTTTTGCACTATTTATTATCGAACTATTTATCTATTCGCACTAGTTATCGGACAGTTACTTAGAGTGATCTTCGCACTATTTATCGTCGAATAATTACCCAGAGTGACCTTCGATAGCTAAAATCAATGATAAGTGGATGATCGGAGAAGTGTTTGCCACTTACCTGTACATGAAAAAGTCGTCGTGCACGAGAAAGGTTGCTTGCACTGGTCCATTCGTCATTATTTCGGACATAATGTCCTCCTCTTTGCTCGAAACCCTGCACAACATATTTTTATGACAGTTGTTGGCGGTTGTTGTGCCGATAGTCGCTAATGGAAGAAACAAAACAATCTCTCTGATCACTTCTGCTGGGCCTGGTACGCTAACAAATATTTATTCAAACAAACCAAAATAAACACTCAACAAATTGCAGGACTACCCACAGCCTACAATACCCCATACACACAAAACCAAACACAAAACAAGAGTCCTGGGGATTGCGATGCCTGCAAAGGCTGGCAGTTTTGATCCCATGAAACACTTGCATTCCGATCGTTCGTTCTGTTTTACATAGGTAGATATTGCAACGCAGTTATATCGACAACTCCACGAGAATACCAATCGTCTATCATGTAAAACTCCAATTTAAGTGATGGTGTCAGGAAGTATTACAACACTGAGCGCAGCTGTATTAGGCCTTTCAGCACCGACCTGCATGTCTTTAGCTGGTACTCATCGATAGTTCGAAGTGTGTCGTTGAGGCCGACAGAGCGAACATTTACTCTCGCGGATACTGACGACCAGTGGTTGGCAGTAAGGCGAAACAGCAATTCTTGCAGTATGTTCCTCTTTTCGCAAAATAAGTAAACATCGTTTCTATTTTCATATGCAATGCTAACTAGTTTGCAACGAGGAGAATTTTAGAATTCTTGAATAGGTTCTTTAGGAAATCTAGATATCGAAAAGCTGAACGGTAAAGTGTTACCTGTAGGATGGTGTCATTCGATAAATTTGTGCATTAGGATGTCCACTCGGACAGCGTAGAGGTCGTCCGGTTCTGTAGTCGGATTTCTGGATCCGACACGGCTCGGGTCGCCCTAGCTGGCCACTGACGTATGGGTAGCATTCCTCGCTTACCACACTATGAAAGGATTCAATTTTATCATCAAAAAATGTTAAACTAATAGATTAAGCACCGACATTCTTAAGCCATGATCTCCAGTAAAACATAATTTGGGTGAGTTTAGAACAGCTAAAGTGAAAGCTCAATGACTCTTTGAACTAGAAGCAAGCTTAAATCCACCCTTTTGAAAAACTGGAAACGGCCGTCTGCTAATCGTTTTTATTGATAACAATACCTCGCTGATCAGCTGCGAACGTAATCTCTCCTCCCACAATTTTTTTCCGCGGTCTTTTTAAGAAGAGACATACTGATGGCTATTGAGATACCACTTGCTAAGAGACGAAATAATTAGTCCTGGAGGAAATGATTTTCCTCGCAGGAATTATGAACTTAGGCTTGAACTGTAGTAGGACAGGTCGTTGCAGTAGCACGTCACCTAAAATGCCCAGGCTTTCAAAAAAGGATACTTCCTATTTTTATTAATATTCTTTCCAAATCAAACCCGAGTTTTCGGATGTACCACCAAGCTCGATCCAGATAGCCACCTTCGCAGCCCTTCTGTCGATGCTGATTACAGGAGAGAAGTTGCTGAGCTGAAAGTGGTGTGTTCAGCCGACCGTCAGTTATAATGGCGAGTCGATCTGCAGATGTAGCTGTCGTAGACTGCGCCCAGGAACTTAAAAAAGATTATTTTTAAATTCGTTATTATTCAATTAAACGCCAAAAATATCGAGATTGCCAGGAAATCATGTTGCTGATATTGCAGGCAGGTGCTCCTATACAACCGGAACAACCATATGAAGCCACTCGATCCTGAGGGTATAACTTCAGTCAGTACCGACCACTTGTTCAATGTTTCTGTACCAGTTCTTTTGTGACCGCCCGAGTGGTAGTTTGCTCTTCGTAAGAACTCGCGATTTCGAATGAAACGGTGGTCTTTGTACTGAAAGCATTTTACCTGGCACAATTTCCTTGGTCCTGCACTGGATGTATAAAATCAGGCCATTTTTCCCTCGCGTCGAATCTGGTTGGTAATTCTCGTGGTTTGACAATAATTTGATTCATGTTCTGCAGGAAGAAAAAATTCGAAACTATGCTGAAGTAAGAAATCAAACAATGATGCCTTGAGATTGAGGTGAAGAACAAAAGCTAAGACGCACTTCCTCAAACAAAAGTGAAAAAAAAATAAGCGATAGATAAGTGGATGCAAAATACATGACTTCATCGATATTCTTCAAAGAATAGGAGGAATGGAGCACTGCTTTGTCCATGTAAAAAAGCAAGGCTGCTAAAAGAGGCATGTCCAGCTAGCATAAGACTTTAGACGGTTCATATTGCCATAATGTGTCTTTGGTAAAAAGTGACCACTTGAATTAGGGTGGGCGCACCTGCGAGAACATGTGATAAACAGAGTCAGCTTGAAAAAAAAAGATTTACGGTGCTGTATTTAGGATTACATTTCAGTGGCATCTAAGGTTTACTGCCAAAAAACTCACTATCAGTAAAACTCCTAAAGTGGTAATATTACAATCCTTATATATTTTAATTTTTATAAAATTAAAATCATTGGCGACGCGCACCGGGCAGGCTCGCGTGATCATGTGTTTTTGCAATATTTCGTGCTGTTGTAAGATCGCTTGGAATCCCAGTAGCTAGAATTAATGACATACTGGTTCTCGAAGTTCAGGAAATTAATTGTGCAACTACATATTACTTGGTCGGGAAACATTTCCTCAAAATTTCAGCATCCTAGCTTTCCAGGCTCCCGAATTAGCGATTTTCCTGCTAAAAAGTTTCATGAGGCCATACGCGAGAACACGCACACGGAGGGGCTGAATTTTACGCGGGCAGGAAACATCGCCTTAAAATTTCAGCGTCCTATCTTTCCCGGTTTCCGCATTAGCGATTTTCCCGCCAAACACGGGGTCGTACGGTGAGAGCCGCATATGCATGGGGGCTGAATTTGAAATCTATGAGTTCTATCTAGACGGAGGACATAGCCGCAAAATTCCAGCATTCTAGCTTTTCTGGTTTCCGAGTTGGCGGTTTCCCAACAAGATTTTCATGCACTCGTACGCGGGCCTAGACGTATGTAACGGATGGTGCCGCAATCCTGAATCGGCATTTGGTCGGAGAATCTAATGGCATAATTTTGACACCGGGACAGACGCACACACACACTCTCCCCCGCCACACACGCACCGGAGTCGTCACAATATGCGTTCTTGCATTTGCATATATGCAAAAACGCACGAGATGGCAGAATTAAGGTAATTAAAGGCAAGCCTCCGCCCTCCCTACCCCTCCCCGTCATTCGTTCGATTGAAACACCCTAAAGATAAAAAAATTTTTTTTAAATCAACTCACATTTGGACACCGGCCTTTTTACAAAAGCATATATAAGCTTATTAAAGGTTTATGACCTAACAAAGCCCGAAGCGATGCTTCCTAAATTTTATTTCCTTACTAAACTAAGAAAACAATCTGGAATATTTCGGGGTGGATTATACAGTTTTAAAAGAATGCACATGCTTGATTTTGCCAAAGCGCGTTGTTATAAATCTTCAGAAAAGAGCATAAGATAAAAAAGCTGGAAATAGAATTGAAAGGGACCTGAACACTTCGTTCCGGAAATAGCGTCCCGAGACGATAGCGCACTCCGTCCTCTAGCGTTTGCCCCCAGAATTTTGAATAATTACGCCCGGTCCACCTAAATTTATTTGTGCTGTCATACAAAAGTTTTGGCGTCGTGAGCAATCAGAGTCTGTTTTCACAAATTAGTTAAAAACGGCAGAAACACTACCCTAAAAAATCGACCGCTGCTGTCACGCTCGGAAAGAAAGGTGAACATGGAGGATTGGGATGGAAGAGTGAAGAGAGTGGGGCTAAGGCGCGTTTCAAACGCATTTTCACCATTTTAATATTTGGGTTTTTATTATGCTTTTTTGTACATACGCAAATGCAAAATCATATATTGGCAAGAGGCTGCCTCTGTGTGTTTATGCGTCTGTGTGTTTGCACTTTTTGTCGCCCACTTTCATCTCGAAAACCGGATAAGCTAGAATACTGAAACTTCAGGGTTATGCGCTCAGACCATGTTTGACCCTCTCGTTTTTATGCGTTTTTGCATAATATGCAAATGCGAAAACGCATACATTGCCATTAAAAGAGAAGTCGAAATTAAAACCCCGCCATATCAAACGCCTCTACGTGATGCGAGAACAGTCAGAATTAGTCCGAGTGGTAGCAAGTACCAACGCAACGAATTACTGGCACGGCTCTTTATGGTTTTCCGTGTTGAAGGTCGTTTAAAAACAAACTAATAACGGGTTTTATTCCGTGGCATGCGCCAATACCAACCGAAAAAATGAGCGAATCGTGCAGAGGTTGGTGATCCATTATCCGCATTGAACCCTTCATCCTTGTTGTTAATAAATGCGGTATTAGCTTAAGGAAAATGTCTATTTGTGGTTTGTGACTACAGAGTTTATAAGATTACTTATTTGTTTTGTACAAAGCAACTAACGTGTAACGTCCTTTTTGTATTTCTAACAGCAAATTTTCTTGGATCAGGCACGGGGAGCTATCGCATTTCCATTCGTTTTGAGAGCACGTACTGCAACGAAAGTGAATAAACCTTAATTTACGAAAAAATTGTTTTTAACATCCCTGAATATTTTGTTGGGCAGACAAACGGCGGTTAATTATCAACAAAATTTTAGGCATGCAACTATCGACATACAACTTTTATATTGCTCGGAAACACCCAAATGTAGAGTGCAACCATGCCAGATTTTGTCTTTCCGGTAGTTCATTTTCCTCTCTCTACTCCAAGAATACCAGGCTCGTCCGAGCAATCGTTGTGGGCACCTCATGTTAGTAACGTTATTGGAATGCTCTTACACGAAAAGAGCATTTATACTAGACCATTCGACGCTGGGCAACTTATCTCCAATTGAGTACACCGTCTGCTGCGTGCGTAACTTCTGCAAAAGCCTTCTGTGCCAAAAACTGTTATTTAGAGCAAATTTCGGTATATCTTGACAGTACAACTTTTGCTCTCATAACTTGTCTATTGTAAATCAATGAAAAATACGTGAAAGCAAACCATTTGTTGCAGTTCTTGGTGATCACTTGTCCCTCCGAGTATCTTATTCCGTTGTGTGTGCAATCTGAATACTATAAAATTGACCATATTTTATTCTCAGAATGCCACAGTAAATAACATTAAAATTAGAGTCCTCGGCAAACATTCGGTAATTGCTACTAAAATATATATGTACATATTTAATATACTGAAGTATATGTAAATATATATATATATATATATTTTAGCTTCGGCTTCGGAATAAAGTTCCCGGTCGCTGCTACTAAAATAAATATATTTTTTATATATTGAGGTATATATTTTATATGCTGAGTTATATACAAAAATATATATGTATTTTAGTAGCAGCAACAGAATATTTTATTTCGAAGCTAAGGCACGGATTTCGTTTGAAGATTTTTCGGGAATGAGCCTTTATAATGAATATTACGGAAAACACAGCTAAACACAGAAAACACAGTTACTGTAAATGTAAGCTAAAGGCCAGAGAAGCAAACTGCAAACGGTTTGGCGCTTTGACCAGTGCTACCACAGCATCATCGAATGCCACAGTAAATGAAAATTAAAGGGGGAAACGCTGGTGAGTAACAGTGACCAAACATTTTA